GAGAGCGATTGTAATAGCAAGGAAAAGAATGAAAACCCTGTTAAAGCGAGCTAACGATACTCAGAAACACGAGAATGAAGAATGTTGCCATCAACTAACCGCATTTACGTATCCGGGTTAAAAAACAACATCACAACGGCGCTCTAACATAACATGGAATATCTCATATCCATGACAAATCACACTCGCCTGTAAATTACCTGTTCTCGTTGACACAAGTAATAAGGCAGAGGAATCAACATTTAGGACACAAGGAGCAGTATTTATTCGGGTTATTTTAAGCGATATGTGCTAACTTGGCATCGATGTGAAAAGATTTCGTTTTTGACAAAAGAGAAATTGCTTGAATCATTTTACATACGACGAATAATTTGAATATTCAGATCATTGATCAATACGCAATACAGATTCTTATTACTCTATTGGATAACATATCGTTGAGTCAGCGTTTATCGCGCTTTTGAATATTAAAATTTTGTGATTATGTAAATTTGGCATATTTCAATTTAGTTTGAAAACTAACAGTGACGCCGTGGTGAATTGAGAATCATCGTGCTCGGTTATAGTCAGGAAGATTTATGATATATGGATATGGAGTGTTCTCAACAATTACTCGAATGGTGATTGCACGCGTGTTCACTCGAACAAATGACATGAATTTTTTTGGATCGATTTTGAGCCTATTTTCTGAGAAAGTATCGAGTATTGTAGGATCGAGTGGTCTCAATGAGCGCTGAATTAATTATCCCCACTGGCATTTGATGAAGTTGGATGAATTTTATCGTTATTATCATTAATTGTAGCGGAAGAAGGATATCATCGGTGGAAGAGTGCCTTGATATTGGTTATAAAAGAGAAGTATGGACTCATAGTGACTCATCCTAATTACTGATTTCAATTTCATCGTCAGTCATTCCAAATATTTTACATATTGCGCGACAACTCAGCAACACACGCTCTGTTCAAGTTTAATGTCAAATAACAATTTCATCCACTTTATTCGTTTGTGCTTTCAGCTTGCGATCGACCAGGTAATCTCTCTGAATATTTCGACTTAGGCGTGGTTGATGATTTTTTTGATTTAAGCACTTGTTCATAATAAGTGGACAAATTTCGTTGCATTGGATTTTTTGGAGAAATTGTTTGACTTATTGTCAGAAAACGTTTCTGTGCTTGGCGTTTTTCATATTCTTCAATGAGCCAGTGTTCACACTCTTTAAGGCATGGTATTCCGCAGAAACAACCGATACTTTCATGCGATAACAAGCAGAAAGATAAAGTAAGCTGAACTTTGCGAAACCCTACCAATCAGAACACTCGCATTCGATAGCGATCAGTTTGAGAATCATCAAATCTGCCATCGTTATGAAGAGATCTTATCACTACTATCATTATTGCCACTGCATTCATGTTGTTGTTGATTTTGCTCCGTCTCCAGTTTTGTCATGGGTCGAGATATTTAGATATATAGATAGAGAGGTTTATTGCCGAGTAAAAAATATGCGCAAGCAATAATTCATCGAGTGTCACATTCGAATGAAAGGCACAACGCTCTAATATAATGCTGAATTAAAAAAAGAGTAAAAATAATAACAGATGAAAAATTTTGAATAGAAATAGAAACTTAGATGTAGTTCTTTCGCATTCTTCGATACATGATACACAACAATTACATGATATAAGGTAAGGTATGGATAACGAGGTTTAAGTGCAAATTAGAGAACATTTAATTAAATTATACGATAGCATTTTATTAACTTATATTTCAATTATTGTTATCATTATTAATATTATTGCTGACAATGAAATGATTTCTGATGTCATGAACAGTATAATGGCGATCATTTCATTGATGCTCTACGCTGATCATTTCAGGATGCCTCGTGCGCACTTCGACGGGAATAGCTGTACATCCGCAAAGGCACGTGCTCTCATAGCACTGCTCCTAGTGGCCATCACATTTTCATTTCTTATTTACCTCAAACTACAACGGATCTCTGGGAGCTTTACACGATTTTCGGATGGAAAAGTTTCGCATGAAATTATAAAGATTATCAAAATGGGATGCAGTGAAAAAATTTGGAATAACTGGCCACCCGCTAAAAGCCTACGGCGTTATATTATTGTCGTCACTCCAACTCATCACCGTTCGACACGAATACCTGATATGACAAGGTACACAATTCTTCGAGTCAATCGCTCATCGAATATTTCGACTCAGACGTAATTGATGCTATCAAATGACTGTGTCGCCTCCAAATAAAGTGTAACATTCAGCAAACGATTTTAGGATGGAAACGTAATCACCACGAAGAAAGGAAACATATGCAAACCGAAATTGTCGTCAGAATTTCTCCGCACAAAAGTTTTCGCCTTCTAGGGACTGTAGAAGGTGGCAAAATATTGTTCCCCTTGAAGTTTCACATCCGAATGATTTGTCGGTTGCTTGAGCATCGAGCTAGAACGATTTCGCTTGGTCATCACAAGTTGGGAATATGCAACTGTGCATATTACCGATCTTGAGGCGTACTGTCATGAAGCGCCCATGCGGTCAAATAACTTCATAGTGGCACACGGTCATTTCAGATTGTCGCAAACACTGATGCACATCGACAATTTGATATGGATTGTTATCGAGGATTCTGCCACAGAAAGCAGTCATATCAGGCGTTTGCTGAAGCGCAGTAGACTGCCTTTTTGTTACATGGCGGTCGAACGCGATCGAAGTCTCCCAGGTGGTCATTTTTTTGATTTATCCAACACCATTATCATTGCATGCTCATGTGTTTGACGTGCTGTGAATCGTTCAAGACTGCTTGCATTGTGCGCGCTATCATTATAACACGAACAGGTAATTGGATATTGTGCAAGCCAGATCAAAGCAAATCATAGTGAGGGTATACTGTGTGGGGAGGGGGTTTATGTGGGGTTTTTATATGCGGGGTTGATTGGTATATTGCTGTGTCATGGGTTTTGTCATTGATACATTGTTGCTGTTAGCATTTGTTAGCTTTTTTGGACCGTATGACACAAAAGTTTTGAGTTTCCAGTGCGAGGATGGACTGCGCGAGAGTTTGCGTTGAGACTTTTGAAGGAACGATTCAGAAATTTCGGCGATCGTGCCGTCGTTTACTTCGCTGATGACGATAACTCGTATGATGTGCGACTTTTTGATGGGTACATACGTAACGTTGAAACCGTTGGAGTGTGGGCTGTAGGTGAGTGAGCATGCCTTTTCATTCAGCTGTTTTGCTTGCACATCTGATTACTAACGTAGACTGATCACAAACGATCTGATCTTGAAGTAAGAATTAATCATTTCTGCAACCACAGTTGAGATTGAATCGTGTATAAGACCACTAATGAGTTCGCAATGATGGTTTGGAACTCAATTATATCAACTTGGCGAATTTGAGCACACGAGACTGAAGAATTTCAAATCAGCATAATGATCACTGAGAACTGGTGATGATAACTTGCACTGTTTGCAGTCACTCATCGCTCATCACAACATAATAATACTTTAGTTTAATTCAGTGTAGCAATCAAATACTTAAGTGTTGTTTTTCAGGTCTTGCTGGAAAGTCAGCTGTAGAAGCTCAACAAGTGGATTTAAACGGAAATGTTGTTGGATGGCTTACGCAATACGCACCAAAGCGTACCTGGGCAATCGATATGGCCGGTTTTGCAATCAATTTGAAGTTGATATTATCGAATAAGTGGGTTTCTATGTCTCTATGAATGCATTCGCCTAATGAAGTGGTTCTCAACCTTCCATCCCCCCCCCCCCCCCCCCCCCCCCCCCCC